ACAGAATTCGTTTTGGCATCGTTGGATAGAGAATTGAAAAGTCGATTCCGTCGTAACAACGAGAGTGAGGAAGTTGGAGTAGTTCTTCCGCAGAACTGAACGCGGGTTCTGATGAAAACAGTGTAAGCGTTCAAGCAAACTACTTCTGAAGATGCGAGCCACTCGTGCTTGCTAAACGTCAGAAAGAAATTCCATTTTACGACGGCCTAAAGAGCGGAAAAGCCCATTAGTTTCAAAGTTTTATTCGTTAACACATAAAGCTTTGATAACTAGATACTGCGCGTGTCTGACTGATGTTTTGCTTTATTAATTTGATTGCCTTCTTTAGTTGTACGGGCGGCAAATGAGTTGGCACGGCAATACAATCGATGACTTTTTGGCCAGTTAACTGCCTGCCGCCATCTCTCTGTATATCTCTCTAACCCTGCACTTTTATTGTTATCGTTTTGGTAATTATTACTATTATTTACTTTTGGGTTTGCCCGATTCATCTCCCACGCGCCACGTATAGCTTTTGTGATGTCTTTTTGGAGCTTTGCAACTGTTCCAGTTCATTTCATCGTCCCCCAATCATGTACTTCGTTTTTTTTTTATTTTAATTTAAAACAATCAATCATTCGGGGAACTTGCATGATGTTGGTTGATCTCATTTCGGTTGGTTATGAGCGTATAAAGCTCGTAAATCGGTCATTAATTCATAATAAAACCCCTCAAACATCAACTTTTTGTAATCTATTCATGGTGGTTTCTGCAACAGGTGCCTAAAGAAGAATTACGGGGTTTTCGACGAGCTGGCGGTTCACTTTCACTGTCTGAGAATGAAATGGAGTCCGATGTGGACTTCGACGTTAAATCAACTGCAAATTTCTCCTAGTCATTGATCACAGCTCAAGTAATGTAATTATATAAATGGGTTGTTCTTGTACAAAAAGACATCTGTGTCTGTTTGAGTCATTTTCTAACGCCAAAAATGTATTTATTAGGGTAACTTAATTGTTTACGCACAGTGCGGTTGTTCAATCATTGATTTAATACGTATTTTATTCGATTCATTTCAAGCCCATATGTTATGCAGGTGTAAAAAATGAGTTGTGTTGTTCGTTGTTTTTCCAACCGCTTTAGCTGGCAATTTAAAACATGTTCTTGCACTCAAATGTTGATTTCATAATATGACGCATTCCGTCTGTTTCATTAATTGAATTGCAATTGTGAACAAGAGGAGGCATTCTGAGTGAACAGTGTTTTATCCAAGCCAGTGAGAAATGAATAAAAGCGTGCTCATATAAACAGTTTCTTTATTTCAGTAGAACAGTAATATAATTTTGCACACTTTCTACTAACATCGCTGTACAAGTTGTTCCCACCTCTATACATCTTCTCTTTTAAGCGCACTAAAGACCTGCATAAGGCAAAAAATGGTTAATTCATTTTAAAAGCCCCTCGGTCCAGAGCGGCTGCACTCAAACATCTGAAGTAGAACAACCAATCCGCCGCAGAAAAACGAAAAAAAAACGATTTACATATAGATGACACAGATGGTCTTTAGGGATTGTTACCACCCTGGTTACAGTAGGTATTACGTACTGGAAGATACACTGAAACAGTCGTCTCCAGAAAAGAATATTTACAAGAAAGAGGTTGGTTGCGCGGAAAATATCGACTTTGCAAAGTTTCGAAATCGCCAAACTTGTTTTGATCAGGCCGCGACTGGTTTTTTATGGCACGCAAATCTCATGCTAGGAAAAGATCGGCGATTTCATAGAACAGGGAATATAGAGGTGAAATGCGTTGGCCCTTAAGGTAAATAGGAAGACAAAAACTACGAAATCGAGGAGCTGTGGGTAACACGACAAGAAAAAAATCCTCAGGAGTGTACGTTTTTGATTTAAATAGGTTTCAAGAAAACAATGGCTGTGTATGTATGTATATCCTGTGCAGATTGATATGTATAAACTAAGACATTACCCGCAGTTCCTCCTAAGCTACTTTATCGAAAATTCAAAGGGTTAAATAATTGTGTAACAAACTAAGCACATCTACAGCGCCATCGAGTAATTATAATCCTGCTTTGGAGATATCGAGAAGTCGGCCGTTTTCTCTGCCTGCACTTTATTTTTCACTGATATTTCCAAATCTGGCCATAAACAGGCGCAAGAACTAATCGAAACCTATTATAATTACATAGCTTTCGAATTACTTATTGTCAATTGGCGATACTGAAACATATTTGAAAGTAGTAGATATAGACAATAGTCGTGTTGAAACCTTGCTATACTTACGTAGTAACATATTTACAAAAGTTCGGTTACTGGCAAGGATTTTTTTGGGAGCATCCAACATCTGTGACTTCAGCTTGAGTAAAATGGTTGCCATTAACCGTGAAACCAACTAGGAATAGAAAGTTTATATACAGATTTGTATAGTTCTCAATTAACAGGCATAAACGCTAAACGACCGCGATTTGGGCAGGTAACTGATTGCGTCGGCTTTGGTGTACATTTCAAACTTAACGAATCTACTTTAATGCCGTATTTTAGCAGCATAACAATCAAAACTCTAACACGATTTTTCAGAAAGGAATAGTTCAAGAAAGTACGGTTGCATTGCGGAAACTCGGCAAGTATATGAACATGAATTGCTTTAGGCCTTGATTGGCTCGGTAAGAATGCGATTACTTCTCAATTTTCCAATAATTATTAAACTACTTTCTTTCCTGGGCTCCAGTCACAGTGTGAAACAAACCATTTTTTTGTATATCGTTTATTTCGTAACGTTTCGGCGAGACAACAGCGCCATCATCAGATTTTAAAATTCATTCAAACCCATAATTGGGAAACATTATATTCATTTAGGTCTCTAGCAAAG